CACAGCTTTGAGAAGACAATGGGGAGTGTTGTTGCGTCATTTGCCACTGCTCAGCCCCTCTCCCGCCAATTCATTTTTCGAAACTACGCCCCCGTTCGGATTAAATTGTATAGAATGAGGTAAATACCCCAGGCTGTACAATGAGGAAGAATCGCCCGGTCTTAGGACTAGTGGCAACATCGAAACGGCTGATTACATTTGCATGGCGCAAAGTGACGTCAGCAGAGGGTGAGACAATATTACAACATTACTTAGCAGAGACTGCGAATGAAAAAAGCAGCAGCAGCTTTCACGCAATGAACGTTTAGTATGCAATCTAATAGACAATTTATATCAAGCTAAAACTTTGTGTGCCAAGCGTTACAGCTGGGCACACACAATTTTCATTTTGTGTGCCCAGCCTTCAATTTTCATTTTCCTAAATGTGGATGTGGGCGGGGTAGGTGCTTAGTAGGCACGCGATACAATACTACACACGGCGCAATTCGATGTGCTTTGGTGAGTCCAAGTCGGAAGCGAAATAATGAAACTTGACCCGATATTTTAGGATTTTAGCATTTTGCGCAGACAAGCCTTTTTGTCTCACCTTAAGTCCACGTCTCGTACAAATAGACGTAAGCCTACGTGTTCGAAGGTCTACATAAACTTTATATGCCAAAGATATTGTCTGTGCTGCCTCGCTAAGTTGCACCAGGAAGGGTTAGACGAAATAGTTTCCTATGCGGAGTGCGTACCTTTAGATTGCCGGGCACAAGAAGTATCCAGTAAAACAGTGCACGCGACTACGAAGTTACTTTATCAACTGTCGCATGTTACCCTCTGGGGCATCCGTAGGTATACTGGTAAACAACAAAACTAATTTCCGGTATCTTCATTATCGGTTAATTGCAATGCTTGTCTGCAACATGCAGGTACGTGACAGGTACTGGTCTGGTTGTAAGTAATTGGCGTCATTATATCTATGCAGACACGTCGCTAAATCGGCCGATTTCATCTAGCGATCCTAACCTGACTTGGTCCTCAGCAAGACAGCGCAACAATACAGTCCACTCATATTCAAGCGTGCACTGCACTATTTAGGTGGGATAAACACGGGTGTCAGTTCAGCTGCAACAAGGAACTTCTCATTCAATAAGGCGGGGCGCACGGAACCTTTCACGTATTCACGGAGTATGCCACATTGTCTGTGCTGTTGTCTTACTGTTGTACTTTTCACTCGTCAGACGTGTACAATTTGTTCAGAAGTACTAGCCTTCTCGGAATTTTTCTGAATAGCTCAGAATTTCAATTTGAATTAGCCACTCCTGCGAGAAAAACCTCATTGGACTCCTTGCTCACCAATATGAAAATAATGCATTGCATTTGTCTCATTTTCCTATATGTGTGTTTTACAAAGTTTGCAAGACAAAATTTGCAAAATGTTTGCGATGCCACGGAAGCTTGAAACACACTGCTTAAACAAAAAGATATGCGAGCATGAAGCTTTTATTCCGTGAATTCAATGAAACATTATTCTATGGCTTTGATTTCTCCAGTACGTCGTTTGCTACAGTGGCTCTTTTCGAAGCGCACTTAAGCTTAGGTAACGGGAGCACCACACGTATAAACTTCAACCGATACACTTCTCGGCAACAGGCCTTTGTCGCCCGCTGGGCCAATCACAAACGTTCTTTGGTTCGGACCAGTAAAGGTGCCACTGCCGTTGTCATGGCGACGGCGGTCTTGACTGCAGGGAAGAATTGCAGTGCTATTACATGTGTTGGGCGCGTATTTCGGACTCCAGAATGACTAAAACTGATATTCTTATGATGTCGTGACAGTGCTGCAGTGGTACTAGCCAGTGCTATTATCAGACATAGGTAACTGGTCCGACGTTTCACTACAGTACGTTTTTGAAATATGTCCCAATGATAGGACACTCCCTTGTCACCTTCACTTGTCTCCTTCGGTTTCTCACCTCTCAGCGCTCATTCCAAGAGTCACATCCATTCTGAGGAAGACATTTCTGTATTCCGCAGAGACGACGTACGAGCAGTGCGAGCGGCGGAGAAGCCAAGAGCAAGGCATCCATATACAGCAAGCTTATATGCCGCGGCGGAGAAGAATGGCAACATAACGGAGTGAGAGGAGCAACACCAACAGCGCATGTACGGTTCGACCTGTAAGTCAAACGTAGGCGGCCGGCTAGGACACAAAGCGAACACGCAGCACGGCCAGCCCGCCACTTCGGGTCAGGCGGCGGCCGGGCGGCAGGCCGCTCTAAACACCCGGCCGGTGATCAGACGGTCACAAGTCCACTCATTCTGGTTATGCAATGCTTACGATGGGGAGACACTTGGCTACACCGTTGCTACCATTTTGCATTCCGCGGTGAGACATGATCTTTAATGAGTCTTAATGAATCTGAACGAGTTTTGCATGCAGCTCTGTTCACATCTAAGTTGGCTGCAGAAAAATGTGTCACTTTTAAACAATTGTGCGCATGAATTTGGCTTGTTGATATGATAGGCATCCCTTATCATAGTGCAAATGCTGACCAGCATGCGCACATGTCGTAAATTAGGGGCGGAATGCATCATATTCGTGTGCGATTGCACAACAAATGCTTTCAAAAATGTTCCTGAAATCAAGCTGATTTGATGATGGCCAAAGGTGAAAGCCCGGCGATCTTTTGGCTTGTTGATGTGTTATTTAAATATATATTCTCCTTGGTACGTTAAAGGTATGTGTATGCTTCTATGGTATGTTAGGCACCATTTTGTTACATTTTGAACTGTGATAAGCTGTATTGAGATTAGGATTCCATGTGGCGTTCTTTTTGTGGTGTTTTCCCCTAACGACCCGGCAGGTACAAAGTTTATTCATTAAATCTGATCTCCGCGACAAAACTGCCGATATTTTGGAACTCCAAAATAGCAATAACAAATGGTTGTAGAAAAAAACCGGATGAAGGTGAATTTTTGCTAAGAAAAGCGCATTATACATATACCATACATTAGCAAGTTTGTTCTGCACCCAAGGTCACTTCAAGTAGAACAGCACTTAGAGGGAGCATACCATCTTTTTTTGTACTTTTCACTTCTTGTTACATCAGACGCTACGATTTCACCAGTAAGATCAATTTTCTTTAAATCCCTCTGAAAAGCTCTGAATTTTTATTTCAAGTAGTCGTCCCTGCGGTACAAGTTCCATTTGACTCCTTGCTTACCATTATGAAATCAATGTATCTCATTTAACTTGTTTCTTCCAACGTGTGTATTCTGTAATGTCTGTAGCACACCAATTTGCCAAAATGTTTTTGCGATAAATGCCATGAAGGCTCAAAACGCTTTGTTTAGACAAAAATGTATCCCAACTTAAAGCTATTATCCCGCCAATTGAACGAACGTTAGACCGTGAATTAAATTTCTCCCCTATGGCGTTTACTGCAGTGGCTCTTTTCGAGGCGCACTTTGGGTGCGGGAATGGAAGCATCCCATGATCCATGTAACACTCTGGTTCAAACTTCAACCAATGCGTTTTTCGGTAACACGCATTTGTCCGCTGGACCAAACACAAACGTTCTGTTATTCACACCAGTAGTGCAGTAGTAGTAGCGCACGATGGATGTCATGACGACGGCGGTCGTAACTACAAAAAGAATCGTAGTGCTGCTGCAAAGCTTTGAGAGCGTTATTTGGACTCGAAAATAATCAGAATTGATGTCCTTATCATGTCTTGACGGTGCTGCAGGGGAACTACCCATAGCTTTCATTATACGTAATTACTCCCATGGTTTCACTTGAGGATGTTTTGTTTACCTTAACACACGCCCGGGTGGCCAATTAAATACTCTGCCCGGGAAGGGCTCAATTTGATCCCCCCGAGATCTAAAAAGCTAAGATAGTTGAGACACTACATTCGTAGGGAGGGCCGCCTGTTCGTGAATTCACGCGTCAAATCTGAGATTTCTGGGCTACGACCTTGGGGTCAAACAGGTCAAACAACGTCAAACTCCATCTTGATGTCTGAAGTGTTTCCAACCCTCCTCATGCAATCGCCGTGAACCTGGATACTTTTTCTACGCATAAGATTTATGGTGTCCAATTAAAGTCAGGGGCCTTGCTTGACCTTGATAAAGTCGAGGCGACCAAACACCAAAGAAATTTCTCATATTTTGCCATTTCGGATAAGCGTCAGGGATTACGCTGGACGGTAGGTTCTGAAAAAAGATGTTGGCCAGTGTCATTTTGGGTCAGCGACCTGCCTTGGCCTCCCAAAAGTCCTTGGAGCATGTCCGTTGCGGTCCCTGTCATTAATAAGTTCGAATGAGAACCAGAGACTATCCCGTAAACCAAGCTTTCTTGTAAAAAGGTTTGACGCCGGTCTGACCTTGGTACCTGACCCTAGGTCAATGAAATTCGTTGTAATCCTAGATTCAATTGGTTTATTGCCTAATAAATTATTTCATATGTGTATTTCATCGTCTAACACTCTGTTGTTGAAACACATTGAACGATTCCCTACAAATACCCCTCACCGACAGCCATGGGCCGAATTTGACCTGTGATTGGTCAGCGACCTTCCAAAATACATCAATTTTACATCAACCTAACAGGTACATCGCACATCAGCTACAGGTACATCAAAATATCCGTTATTAAATTCTTCACTACTGTGCAAAGTTTGGCGTGGCTATGTGGCGCCGTCCGCAATTATTCGGAAACAGCCTTTGGGGTTAATTTGACTCCCCGCACATCCGAGCGCTTGTTTAAGATGGGACACTCGCTTTAACCTTGGCAATACACTTTCTCGAGGAAAAACAAAATCGCTCCATTTAGAAGATTTACCCGGAGTGCTATGCCCGGTGTTCTTACGTTCCGTCAACATGGGCAGCAAGCCTGCAGCCCTTCACCTAGTTCTTCTTTACCGTAATAGTTTTTTGGAATATGGCAGCGATTTGTGTCTGCGAATACGCCGAGCGTCTGACGACGTATTGCGCTATGCAGCTCATTGCTTCACTCGACTCGAGAACATTGACGGGAGTTAAGGTAGTACGTTTAGAACGGAAAATTTGTCAATGATACTAAATAATTTAAATGTTTTATTTTTATTCGAGGAATTAAGCTTGAATTTCGGATGGCCATATGTGTTGAGTGGAATTAAGGCGATCGTCGATAGCTCGTTTGTCTTGTGTTGTTTTCATCGAAGGTCAGATCTTGCTAGGTAGTGTAAGAATATTTGCATTGATTTGACAGTGGGGGTAAAGGAAAACAATGCACATTTTCTACAAGCTTGCACAGACAACTCTAAATTTAGATCACTGTGCAATGTAATGTCACTTTATTTTTTTTTGTAAAATATGGTGTCGGGAAGAAACATGGAGATGTACTGGTCAGTCGTGTTGGGACATGCCCTTTTTTCCTGTACTTGGAGCCTTTAATCCCCTATTCTGTTCATTTTAAATTAAATTTTTAGCATTCATTGGTCATGCTGTAATCAGTACTTACCAGAACAGCTGGGAACAGTGATAATGATTTGAGGGTGGCTATTGCCTCCCAAATGCCTGTTTCTGACACCTACTCCCATATGGGAGGCATTGGTCAGATGTGAATACAGTACATAGTTGTGGAAGTGACCTAGAAAAATCACAGCCTCACTCTGTTTGGCTCAGGCTTTGATCTTCCCACTGCAATGTGTTTTTTTTAATGCTTGTCACATCAAGTGCCCTGAATGGTGCTAACTGTTTTGCAAGGCTTTACATCAAAATCTTAATGCTCAAAAAAGCAAGGTATGCACAATAAAATTACAATGATCTGTTGTGTTTGGGAAAGGAATGTATTTAATATGTGCTATTGTTTTTGTAGCTCTGCTCCAAACCACAACTGTTGTCTTGTTTTGAAGGAGTAGCTTGCAGACTAGCCCTATGCTGTTGAGATGCATAAAATTGGGTTGTGATATAAAATGTGCAACAAATAAGGGTAATCACTTGTATGGGAGCTGGCCCTGATGTATTTCAAAGTGTCTGTACTGACTTACTTAAAGAATTTATCAAAATTAATGCAATGTCTCATGAAATTATTTGCTACCTTACTATCAGCACATTAATTATTTCATAGATGATACCATCAAGCAAACTAGGCATGGTGTGAAGTTTCCCTCACATAAGGGAAGTGTGATGATTTATGTGAATAGGCAATAACATCAGCTTTGCACCCATTTTGCATACGTCAATTGGACAATGCTCATGATAATGAGCAAGTGGGTTTTAGTGGTCATAAGGTGTCTGTTACATGTAGAAGTTTAGCCCAAGGATGGCATACTTGACTAGCAACTATAAGAGTGCAGTTTTGAACCTTATTCTGGGTTTGTTGTGATGTCCCAAGCCACAGTTGGTGTGGTTGGTTGTGATGCTAATAGCCATATTATGGATTTAAGTCATTGTATGCTTACAGGCATCCTAAAGTTGGCCAAATATTTTTATCACACACCTTGGAACTTGTTAATGAGGACAATCATTAGCACTCATAGTTTTGTTGCAAAACAGTGTTTCATTGTCACAAGCTGTGATTATTGCTGTGGAGCTCTGTTCCCATCATGACAAGGCATATCTCTTGAGATACAAGATTAGTACCTTGCTCATTCATGCTTGACTACCCAACAGTTACAATTATGAAAACTATAGCTATCTTTGGTTGGATTTTTGAAAAAAGCTGTCTTACTTTGGTTCTGTGCAGCAGCACTTGTTATATTTTGGGGGGCAGAGAATCTGAATTTCAAGATAAGCGATTGGAGGTTGTGTGGGTTTTGGAAAGTGCATTACATTGGTGAACCCCAACTTTGTGTGATGACAACATGATCCAACTCAATAACCTGTTATCAGATTCTGGACATGCTTTTTCAAACTGAAGACATTTTAAATATATTTTGTGCAGCTCAAAGACACTTGTGGATTCAGGCCCATTCTACATCCTATAGATCCATTTGAATTCATACACTCCCTTCTAGATCACATTATCATGCTTTGATGGTTATAAGAAACAAGTTTGCGGCAGTTTGCGAGCATAGCCTCCACAGGTCAAGAGCTATTTTGACTTCCGACTGGTAGTGCTGCGTTGTCGACTCACCATACCAGGTGGTACTAATGAACTGGGGTCATGGAGGAAAAACTGTATTTGTTGTGATGAGCAACAGTTCCCTCTTCTTCCTGTTCTGACGTTTCGAACGGCTCGTCGAAATATGTTGGTTTAGCCGCCTGTGCTTCGACAGCCGTTTGCGGTGCTGGGTGTTGGTTGCTAGGACACGAAAACCTGAATTTGCGGATATTCGTGACTTTCGTGCAATGTTTGCGGTGCCTTAGGTTCGTGGTGATTAATTGTCTAATCTTATGCTCGCCATTCTGTGTGGATTATTATAACCTTCTGGCTTAGCCACCTGTATTTCGTGTAGTTCTTAACATGTGACTATTTGTCAGTTGCCAGGATGTAGGAGTTCAAACCATTAAACAATTTTACTATCTTTTTAGCATCTGTTATTCCACAAATGCGGACCATTTTCTGGGTTGGCCTGTCTTGGTTTTCAACTTTTTTCATTAGTGACCTCTTGTTTGTGCTTTATAACATTTTTTACCCAATACCTACCGAAACATGAAAGGTTGGTAACTCTGCACAGAAATTCTGAACTCAATGCTGAAAATGGGGAATTGATGATCTTTCTTATATGAAGCTACTTGAACCCGCGGTGAAGGGTATGGTGGGTGCAGGTTAGGTTCCCCTATTCATTTTTCTCCAAAGTGAGCAAGAACTGCAAAACAACGTACTGGGAAGCATGGCTTCGAAATAAGTCTATGTTCAGTCTGATTTCTTGGGGTCGGCCAGAGACCAACCAAGTCAGGTCAACTTGAATGCGCCAGCCTTTGGTGCGGTGATACATGTTCTGCGTTTCGTCGTGCTTTCCGACGCACTTGTTTGTTTTGTTTAAACGTGCCTGATGTTTGACATGGTGAACTTAGTGGTGTGCTGCTTCCTTGCCGTGTTCTGCAGAGACCACTACAGCATGTTTGTTCTGCAGTCATGGAGACCAGCATCAACAACAACAACTTGGAGGCCACACCGGCGGACCCGATGGAGGTGGACACGGCGGTGAAGCCTGAGAAGATGTTCGCGCTGAAGAAGTGGAACGCCGTGGCCATGTGGCGGTGGGATGTGGAGTGCGACACTTGCGCCATCTGCCGAGCTCAAGTCATGGGTAAGTTTGGCATTCTAGCCACCAGGTGTGGAATGTGCCCAGCCGGGCGCGCGCTTGACGCGGGGAGGGGTGAATATGTCCGTACGCTTGCTTATATGGGACTTGTTTGGCGATGCGCAGGCATGTCAGTGCATCTCCAGACTTAAGTGTTCTGGTTAAGAGCACTGTGAACCACACCTTGTGGCCAGTTGTATAAACTGTTTACTGCGATGCGATCGGCTCTCCGTTGGAGGCGGGATTCGCCTTGTCATTAATTGTGGGATGTCATCAAACCAGACAACAACCAGACATGAGGCACATGAGTTAGTCTGTGCTTCTGGGAAATCAGGGGTACGTGGTTCGATCCTCTGCGGTGTCCGCCTTTCCTGCGAGGGCGAGAGGCATGCGACGCTCTATGGCCTCCGCAGCTGAGTGGGTCATCAAGTCTCAGTGACGGCACCCAGTTGGTCCGCACAAACCTCGATGAGGGGGGGGGGGGGGTCCCCTGTGTGGAGAAGTCTCGCTAGCGGAGGACTCCCAGGTGCATGCGGTCCTGCCCCGCTGCTCTGCTTCATCCCAGTGCCCGGACATGGCCGATGACCGAAAGAGGTCTAATTGCAACGGAACTAGAAATGCGTGTTGCGTGCGTTGCACTCAGCAGCGAATCACAAACCGGCTACGGCTGGAGGACATCGGCGAGGCAGCTCGGCTGAACCCGTCAGCTCCCTCAGGGTGGCGAGTGATCAGACCCATGTCAATAGCGTACCGTGTAGCGTCCAAATATTGGTAGAAGCAGCTCAGAATGCGGGAGTGAGTCGGTCGCGAGTGTGTGAGCTGTGTGAGTGTGCAGTCTCGTGATGTTGCCTGCTGGCCTGCTAGTTTGCCGGGGACGTGACCAAAGCAGAGATCAACAAGTTTCTGATTGTATATAAATGATTGCACTTGCGTAGACTAAACATGCGAGTTACGGTGGCTGGGGACGGTATAAAATTTTAAACAGCGTACACTACTATTGCCGAAGTTATGACTGGAGCAACCATGCTCTTCGAGGCCATCCCGGAGTGTTGCAGTGACGTCACCAAGGTCAGCAATCTACGGCTTTTTCATTCTGATCAATGCATAATTTAGTTTGTGATCAAGATCTTAGTCTTTGATACCATGATGTGGTTCTGAAAATTTATTTCCGCTGGTGCCTTCAGCATAGCGTTTCGTGAACAGCAGCGTGCGCTTGGTTAGTAACGGGCAGCAGGCTTGATAAACAACGCAAGCAAGTAGTGCCCTGACGTGGCCAGGTATGCGGTCCACAGCGGTACAATGCTGGCCGCTCAATAGCATGCGGTAAGACGGGGCAACGTTGGTTGACAGGGATATGTAACGAATGCTCCTTCATTTTTATTGAAGCCGCCATTGATTCGTTCATTTCTAGCGGCGTTTTGCCAATATTCGACAAGTACGGAGTAAAACGTCGCATTTTGAGCGCACGAGACGTGGCGCGAAATTCGCCAGCTCTTGCCCGAGCTGTGTGAAAATAAATCGGGACCCGGCAGCTGATGCTGATGGCTGAACCACATCGAACTATATCTATACGAATCGTGTCCTTCCCGTCCAAAGAAGTCAGTGGTTTGTTGTCCATGGCGGCTGCTCGAGACGTGGTGCGGAGTTGGACCGAAACCAGCCGTCAGGACGTTTGGCCATGGTGTTCTCGGAGCCAAACCCAGCTTGGCACGCTTTTTTAGCCTGGACGTGCATAACCAACTATACAGTGTACAATGCGTGTGGAACGAAGATGATAGGACATGTGAAAAACATGATTTCAGAGAAACTGATGGTGAAAAGGACCGTATGGAATTTATATTATCTGATATGGACCATCAAGGGCAAGGTGGGTGTCTCACAGCGTGTACTGCCGCGCAGATTCGGGATAGGCCAATCGTACGTTAAGCAGATTCTGAAGCAGGTTATCGAGCTACGGAAAGAGAAAAGCGCACTGGCGAAGATATCCTTGGAATGACATCTCAGCCAGGGTAAAACAACCGCCGGATTGGGAGGCCTATTCCAAATAGCGGCGAAGGGCCCATTGAAAGCTGCGCACGGAAGTCTGTCGGTCGCAACTGCGACCGATGGGTGACTTCTGGGGCTTAGTGGAGCAGCAGGTGTCCAGGGGAAGGGCAGGGCTGGTTGGCGCAGAATGGCCGGCGACTGTGCCGCAGCATGCAAAAGATGATCGGAGGTATCGGCGGCAAGCTACGCGAAAGTTGGGGCGGGAGCTATCGCGGCGCGTACATCTGGCCGCGCATACAGGGCTTAATGATCAGATCTGCATATATGGATGACTTCCCAATGTGTGACTGCTAATGTGCACACATTTTCAACATTGCATGATTTGTGGCGACAAAATTATCGTACTTTGATCTGTATCAAGTTTCATAGCTACCATTTGTTACATTTACTTCTGGAATACCATCAGGGTCCTAGATACGTTGTTGTTTCTTTTGATGAACTCCGTTACTTACGGGGAAAGGAGAGAGGGGGGGGGGGGCAGGGTGCACCCATGACCCGCCAGTTTTGTATCAGAAAGGGCACCTCCCTCGACCGTAAGCGACCGCACTCCGCAGTGCATGTTGTGTATATTGACGAAAATGAACGCATCCAGCTGTAGGCATTGGTAACTGGTAGTTGTGTGCTTTTCCGTGTCTTGGCAGTATATATGCTGTTTATCCGTCGAATGGCGCCCGTCATGTAAGAGAACTGGGTGCAGGGGAACGCTGTTGAAATGTTTCAATGGTCAATTCTGAACGTTTGCCTCCGTCGCAATTGCCTCGAGCGATTGCCACATGAAGTGACCAGGAATATGCAGCGTGTGGAAGGGTTACGGTTAAGTTATCAGAGACGTGGGAGCTATTACTTATTAGCAGTTATCCTCTTGATAATACGAATCTTGGGCAGTGCAACACTTCTGGAAACTCGTATTTTGCGTTGTACCTGTGTGTTGATAAGTACGTCATGCATTTCTTCTCAACAGATAAAAAAGTTTCCTTATGTGGCACTTCCTCGTCTGCTAATATATTGTATTGCTTCAAAGCTTAGAAGCTATGGATCTAGCCAGATCTGGTTTTGTTGGACGTGCGTTTGTAATTACGTGCGTTGTTTGTGTCTGATCAGAGTACGATGGAAGACGCAATTTTTCTTAATCAGTGCTGATTACAGTAAACTGAATGAGGAGCCAATGCACGTGGCCCAATTTCTTGGTTCAGAGCACAGCTCGTCTTGTAGGTCGGTTTCAAAAGCGGTGGCATTGGCCGGTTCCCGGTGGGCGACTGGCGAGCCAGGCCGGACTGCGCTGAGACGGCGTGGTGACCTGCATCCGGTACATTCGCCCATTGCGTTCCATTGGCCCTATCTATTTGTCTGCTCTGCTTACGGAGGTCCGACGTCGCTCCCGAGACGCGTCCACGACTGGTCGGACCGCTGGGCAGCGCGCGGCTGCACGTGACCCCGTCTACGCCCATCGACCCTCACGTGTGCCGATACGATCGGTCGCTCTGTCCTGTGGCGAGTGATGGTGGTCCGACGCCTGTGCCACACTGGTTGGCCAACAATGTGGGCCCGGTTTCCAACTGCACTGCCTAGCCGTTTCGTAGGGAGCAACTTAAAGTTTCTTATGTTAGTGTAATTAGGAAGGTTTTACGTTGTTCACTTGGCAGTGTCGCAGAAACTTGTGGGAGTGAGTCTCGACTGCACGATGTTTCAAACTTTTTTTGGCGTAAGGCCGCTCGGAGCTGCGGTCAGCGGTTGCGAGTTATAGGCTCCGGGAAAGCGTAACGCCTTGCCCGCCCAGTGCCCAGTCGCTCCAGCTGAAAATGTTCTCACTGTTCAAATGGGATTCGCTAGGATTGTGCGGCATCGCTCGTGACTGGAGAGGTGCGAAGCACCATAAACTCAAAGAATTAGTGTTTTCAAGAGACGTGTGGCCACTGCGAACGTGCAAAGAAATGCTGCTCATGGATATAAATCTGCTGCGTTCTCTACATGAAAATCCGACGATATTTCTGGGACAGAAATGGGAGAAAGAAATGTGGAAAATGAATGTAGTACGTGTACCGTCATTGCCAATGACAACGCACATGGCAATACAGATACGCGCATTTGATCTTTTTGGTTTTTAGTAATATAATCTAAACAATCTGCGTAATAACGTAATTATGATGTCCGTTACTTGGTTTGAACTCAACGGTTAGTGTCGGATATGACGGTTGTTTCGGATTCCGTGGAATTTTCCCAAGTTTTGATTTTTTTCTAACGAACACCGATGTTTCGGCAAAAGATTGTCAACTTTCTTTGCTCCTGGGAAACAAGTCGTAATGTGTTATGGTATCTTAGTCGGCCTTGGGACAGAAACATTCCCACTGGCCTGCGACCCCCGACGCCTCTCATTTACGTTTTTTGGATTTCGCTGTGAAAATTTTACGTTTCGCTGTGTGGGAAAACGGATGAAAAGAGTCTGTAGCGAGTCAATTTAAATAAAGAGGTTAACCTTCTCCGGCCATACCGGTCATCCCAAGGACATTTTCCAGGCTCAAACATGATGAGCGTTTGTCGCATCTTGCCATCAGTATCAAGGCAGGTGTTCTGTCCGATTCATAAAAGTGCCGTATTTTATGGTGCATAGTTGAAAGTTTGGTGCCAAGACTCCAAAGGGGGGCACGGTTGTACCATTTCAGGGAAAAGTTCACCGTCTTTTCGGCCGCGGGGAATAGAATGTCGGAACAGGCCACAAGATCACGTGTGCGACCCGAAGTCTTCTTTGGAGCCGTCTAGCTGACGGAAAGTTACGTTTAAAAACGCAAGAACGCTTTTTCCCCCTCGGCCCGTTCCCACACCCAGTCACTTCTTCCACCCACTCTGCCCTCTGAACGTAGCCAGACAGCATAAATACAATTTGCTCGACTTGTATGTGAGAAGGTTGGTACAACGTAGTTCAGCGTCGCTGTAACAGGACATTGTAATATCAGCACGTAGTGAATTACCAAACCTTAAACCAGCGGATTAATACGTCACTGTATAGTGCACTTTACCTCAGAATTCAACATGCGTTTTTGTCACAGCAGCATGGCATTCCGCACTCGTGTGAGCGACCTTTTAGAAGCGGCGCCTAGCACTGACTGCTTACCATTGCGTTTATCGTTGCTCCCTTCCCATGTAAAGCTTGGATGTTGGTCATTCTTTTACTGCGATTTTTTTCCTCCACAATATTGTTTTCCACCACATGTCTTGGCGAATAGTGTTGCGTTTCCGACGGAACGCTCTCCGTCGTGTACTTCTCAGAGAGTGCCGTGTTTCCGACGGAACGCTCTCCATGGTATAGTTGTTCACAGAGAGTGCTACGTTTCCGACGGAACGCTCTCCATCTTTTAGTTGTTCACAGAGAGTGCCGTGTTTCCGACGGAACGCTCTCCATCTTTTAGTTGTTCACAGAGAGTGCTGTGTTTCCGACAGAACGCTCTCCATGGTATAGTTCACAGAGAGTGCCGTGTTTCCGACAGAACGCTGTCCGTCATATAGTTGGTCACAGGGAGTGCCGTGTTTCCGACAGAACGCTGTCCGTCATATTGTTGGTCACAGGGAGTGCCGTGTTTCCGACAGAACGCTGTCCGTCATATAGTTGGTCACAGAGAGTACCGTGTTTCCGACAGAACGCTCTCCATCTTTTAGTTGTTTACAGAGAGTGCTGTGTTTCCGACAGAACGCTCTCCATCGTGTGATTGTTTACACCCGATCCCGATCCCAAGTTGTCATTCCTACACTATCGGCGTGGTGTAGGAATGACAACTTTGTGTCCACAACGGAGGGCTGTTGTGACGTTAACCCCGCATTTACGAGGAAGAAACGACACTACATGTTGTGCAGGCGTCTGCCAGTCGCAAAGTAGTACTCTTGACAAGTTCCGTGGAAGCGATTTTATAAATCAGCTCGGCCACTGACGGGAATTTGTCCTGTTTAATGACTGCGGACTGACTGCGACTGCTGCACACACGCGCGCTGGGCGTGTTTTCTGTTTGATGTGGCGTGTTGGAGCGAGGGCCTGACGCATGGGCACTTAACTGGGTTTACGGCTACTACCGTTGCTGATCGATACAACGGAGTACCTTTATACTCCATCATCTTGCCTCTTAGTTTATCGTAAATCAAGCTCGGTGGCATCATTATGTTTATTAATACATTATTATAATGTGTCCGTAGTATTTACACTCGCATATATGCACGCTACAAAATGGTTGTCGTTGACACTGAGGACGACGGGCGGCTCAAAAGGCCGCAATAATGCGCGCCAGCCGACGGCGGACGCGCCAATATTTGTACAAACAGCATACAAACGCGCAGCGTATCGCCGCAACAAACAGCGGCGGCGTGCGAGCCCACGCGGCTCGCGGTCCTCTGCCGCCGCGGAGCGCGAGGCAGCGCCGCCGGCACCGCCAGCCTCGCAGCCGAGCAGCGGCTGCGTTCAGTCGATGACGGGCGAGGCAGGGCGCTTCTTGAGGCTGCCCTGTCGCGTGGTGAAGAGGTTCTTCTCGATGTCCTCGAGCGTCTTGCCGCGCGTTTCCGGCATGAAGCCGACGGTGAAGAGCAGGCCGACGGCGGTGCAGACGCCGAACAGCCAGAACGTGCCGTGTGCGCCCACCGCGTGGATCAGGTCGTTGAACGTCTTGGTGACGACGAAGGTGCAGGCCCAGTTGAAGGCGGTGGCGACGGAGCCGGCGCTACCGCGGATGCGACCTGGTAGACCCTCGCCCAAGAAGAGCCACGGGATGGGACCCCAGCCGACCGAGAAGGCCACCACGAACACCATGAAGCTGACGAGCGGCAGCCAGCCAAGCTCAGTCACCAGCGCGTGCTGCTGCGGTAGCTCTTCTTTCACGTAGAAAAAGGCGCCGAGCACAGCGAGGCTGGCCACCATCAGGCTGCTGCTGATGTAGAGCAGCACCTTGCGGCCCAGCCGGTCGATCATCACGTTGGCGATGAAGGTGGCGCCGAAGTTGACGAGGCCGACGACCACGCTGCACAGGTTGCCGTCGATGCTGCTGCCGGCGATCTTGAAGATGCTGACGGAGTAGAAGATGACGGCGTTGATGCCGGACATCTGCTGGAAGAACATGAGCGCCAGCGAGATGGCCAACGCGCGCAGGTAGTGCGGGGAAAGGAGGTCTCTCAGCGAGCTGTGCGTCCGCTGCGCCGCCGTGATGTGCTCGGTGATGGAGCTGAGCTCGTCCGAGATGTTGACGTCCTGGCCGCGCAGCCAGCGGAGCGACTTGGCCGCCTCCTTCAGTTTACCTGGTGAACGGAGCAGGCTGTTGTGGAGTGTGTCGGGAAGTGGTAAGATGCAGCGCCAGGTCCGCACCCAACAGAGCCATGATCAGCTGCTGTGTAGTGCAGCGACATTCCGTGCCAACTGGCGGGGGCCGACAACGTCGTACGATATGCGACAGTCCCATCGCTAGTGAGATGCGACGCCAGCTGAGCCGGCGACGATAACCATCGCCAGCGAAAGGCGTAGTGGTGAAAGGCGTGGCCATCTGTGGACCGGACATCCAAGCAACGGACACCGGCGGCCCGCCGGCGCCGCGTCGCCCGCCGAGTGGCGTCATCACTCACCGTGCGCGACGTACCACCGCGGCGTCTCGGGCACGAACCACATCATGATGAGGAACGGCACCGGGATGCAGCCGGCGAACAGGGCCAGGTGGTCCCAGCGCAGGTACGTGCCCGCCAGGAAGCAGACCAGGATGCCTGCCGGACGCGGACATCGTCAGAGGGACTGGCGCGGGGGCGGCCGGGCGGCTGGGGACCTCGCCGGGCCGCAGTCACGGTGACATACTGCAGTTCGCTCCGCGAGGAATCAGACGCTGAGTGGTACTGTTTATCGACCTCTTTTCACCGGATATTCTCCTTTGTTTCGGTCGAGCGCCTGGCTGCCATGCCTAAAGGCCTAGAGACTCGCGCGGTTGATATGGCGCCTTCGATGACATGCAGAATGGAACATTTTCATGGTGGTCAGCCATAACCGATCTCATCACGACCCAGCTCTGGTCTTGTAATGAGTCATGATGGGTGGCGGCAGGAGTTGCGTCGCCGATAGTGGTGGGCCGCAGTCTTACCGGTGTTGCCGATAGTGGTGGGCAGGAGGCCGAGCGTGCCGCGGATGTCGGGCTGAATCGTCTCGCCTAGGTAGACCGGCATAGCCAGCGAGAGCGTGCCGATGCACAGCCCGGCGATCACGCGCGCCACGTAGATCATATAGACGTCCTGCGCGAACGCGATCAGCGCGTACGACAGCATGAACGGCAGGCCGGTGGCCATGATGGTGATCTTGCGGCCGAGCCGCTCGATCAGCGAGCCGCTGACGAGGCCGCCGCAGAGCGCACTCAGCGGCATCAGGCTGCCGATCCAGGAAGCCTGTAACCGAGGGGCGACCGCCGCGTCAGCGGGGCGAACGCGCCCGTCAGGCGAGCGGTGGCGGGACCAGCACCAGCAGGAAGGCCGCTGCTGTGAACGGGTCACTACGGCCGACAACTGAAGCGTGGCGGGCGTCAGATGCTGGGCCGACAGGTCGACACTGACCGTGCGATACAGCCGTCTGCCCAGCCGCCGCAGGTGTCGACACAGTAACGGCGAACGCCATTACAGTGACCACGACCGTAAACATGGCCACCACACCGTGAACGAAGCCGCGCAGCTGTCAGGTGCCGTGCCGTCAGGGCGACCGCGGCGACCTGAGTGCCCGCGACGGTGGGGAGAGGGAAGCTGGACCTCGGGGGGGGGGGGGGGGGCTGGCGGAGGCTGGTAATGGCGGAGGGAGCCGCCGGAACTGACGTGATGCGGACAGGGCACGGAGGCTTGAATCTCGACGGCATGCAGCAGACCTGGCTGGCGAGGAGGGAGGCGAAGGCGCCGGCGTGCCGCATGCGGCGTCGATCAAACGGATAGCCGCGGGGCCGTTTCCAGACATCGGGGTCGCCGGGCGGGACGGGGGCAAAGTAGGTCGGGTCGCTGGACGGATGGACGGCGGGGCGGAGCAGAGCAGGCCGGGCCGCTGGACGGACGGGACGGACAGACGGCGCCAATGCTCCACAGCGACGCCTGTTGTCGCGGCGGTGGTGTGGCGTGACGTCAGAGCACCAACGGTTGACGTCGGACGCCGGGGTCTGGCGTCCGGTGTGCCGGTCCGCTGGCAGCGGCCCACCAGACCCCTTATCGGGCCCGGTGACCCGCGCTGCCAGCCCCGGGAATCGGGCCGCGTCCTTTGGCGGGTCGCGGTGCCGTCAGCGGCCGAGGCCGTCTCGTCGGCGGGGCCGAGTCGCGCGGCTCTGCCCGGCGCCGCGCCGCGCGCCGCCGACCCCAGCGGATCAAGCACCGATTCAATCTCGCGCGACCGTGCGACGCTTCCTCTTTAAGCGGCAGGGGCGCGTCGGAGTTCCGCTCGACACCCGGGGACGCAGCCCGGCCCGCACCGGTCCGGTTCAAACCGGTAGTGTCCGGTGAAGTCGGCACCGACGGCAGCTCGGGCGGGTCGAGCCGGCTCCTGACCCGAGCCTCGCTCCCGGCCGCCGTCGACCTCGCCGTGTTACGTCACTGCTGTTATGATGGGCCGAGACCGACCAGCCCGTGGCCACCGCGCGGTGGACTCCCGTCTGCGCGGCGTCGCCAGGCGCGTGTTTTTCGTGTTTTCGCCGGCTGGTCGGTGTCACCACCCAGTTATCGCTGTCAGTGGGAACGTCGCGGGGCCAGACCTCGCGCCTCCGACGCCGCGGCGCGCCATTCTCTCGTCGCCGGTGAAACGAGACCAGGGTACCGAAGATTTTTTTTTAGTTTTGAGTGAGACCTCGTGTTTATGTAGTAACATTATTACGACGCCGTGAGGTATTGATAGTATTTTGCATGAGCGGGAATGGCCCAGTCAAATACGCGCATGATGGGAAACGTTCAACGACAAAACGAACGAGATGCTACGGTGCGCGAGTCACGGCCATGCAGAATGGGCCTTTAAGTGCCACGTGTAGCACAGCTATGGATGACTCCCAGAATCGATTGTCTGTGTATTTGAGTGAGCGAAGTGTATGCTCCCTATGGCTGTGCGACCAGTGATGGACGATGACCTCAACGGCATTCAGTGTCAGTACCCAGCTATAACTTTTTACCTCGCCCCGAATGTAAACACCATGGGCCATGCATCTAAACTTCTTACTAAAGGAGCCCTGCTGCACTGACGTGTACAAGGTGGCTCATCCCGCGACGTTGAGCTTTCCAAGCAGCGTGCTACTTTTGTGCCTGCGCGGGCCTCACCTGGGTGTCGGTGATCTTCAGTCGGCTGTCGGGGGCTTGCATGGACGCCAGCGCAGGCGACGTGTAGGCGGCTGTGAACCCTACCAGCATGGAGCCCACGGACACGGCCAGGGCGGCCATCACCTGTGGACGGAGGGCGCGCCGCGTCAGCGAACAGCGCGCCCGGTCGCTGTCCGGTCAGCTCGCGCGCGGCCGGCTCAGGCAGCGGCGGGCCGGGTCAAGAGTCGTGGTGGACAGTGGATTCGGGCGGCGCAGGCCTCGGTTGAGTCGGAGGACTCGGCGAACGTCGGTCGCCGGCGAGTCCTGGGACGGCGAGGAAGGGTCGGGCAGAGACGGTGGGTGCGGTGCAGTGTGCACGAGCCGCTGCGAGTCGGGCGCCCCGGCTCGCTCGCCAGCCGCAGAACAGCTGTGCGCGCGCGGCGACTGAGGGGGCGTGTGAGTGGCACGGGATCGACACGGCGTCGGGTGCGTCCCGTCGGGCCGCGCTCGCGTCCCACAGCTGCGCTGCCTCGCAGACGCCGCCGCTCCCAGTGGCAACACACACGCGGCATGACCAGTTCAGTGGGCGCACCCCAAAACCCCGGTTCGCAGTGGGAGCACGCGACACTCGTGTCTGAACGTGGCGGATGTCACGCTCCTCCAGGGATCTCGTCGGGGTCGGGATGCTCCTGTCGGAGCAAAGACGCAGTTTTGGGGGCTGAGCGTAGAAATGTTCTTGAGCTAAGATAGGACAGCTTAGGCACGTTATATCTGTTCCCTCCACACAGCGTCCAAATGAACCATGACAAAGATCGGTGGCATGGGCGGGATGGAGATTCCAGCACCCAAAGGCGGAAAGCCCGATCCCTTTTTTGGGAATATTTGTAATATTTTGGCGACGAAATATCGACCAGCTCGTGACGGCATGGAAGTTCACTGGCGGGCGATGGTGTCCGCGTGTCCGGGATGGATCCATGAGCACCAAGTGGGGCATCGACCGCACATCGTGACGTCATCACAGTGCACGCGCCGGGCTGTTCTCCGAGCGTGATCGTCGCATGCAGGTGGAACGCCACCCCCGGATGCTCTGGAGCCGGCTCCGTCGGCTCGAGGGGGCGTGTTGTCAGCTGGTGCTCGGCATCCTCACCTCTCATTTCTGTGCAGATATGTTGGGGGGACTATCTGACGCGTTGCATCGGTCTGCAACTTTCGCCTGGATCAGGGCAACGCTGGCCTGTGACCTGGCGATAGACGATGGTCCTGCTCAGTAGTGGTATGCTTCGCACGATGTATGAATATTTTTATGACCGAACTCATGGAAGCCAGCCGAAATGGTAGAAAATCCATTACGTTTGAACTTCCACTGAATCATTAAATCGCCTCAACAAATGGTTTTTTCTTTTTTTGAAACATATTCGTGAACCAAGAATATGTGATCAAGCATGACACAAGGGATATACTCTCAGTAGTTTACTTCTGTTAACAAAATTTCTTTCGTGTTCTTTTCGATATGTGACGACTTGATAGCCCATTTGTAACATCACAAATGTTGCCCAAAACGGCCGATTAAATGACAACTTATTGCCACCATGCGCTCATTTGTTTTAAGTGAGTTATTTCGCCTTATTTTTGTAATTACCGATATACATATATATATATATATATATATATATATATATATATATATATATACATATATATATAGCCAGCACCGCAATTCTTCACGCATCTTGCTTGGATGTTTGAACGCGTCTTGTAAGATTCTGTACTTCCATGGATTTCATGGGTAATTTCTTAATTGCGCTTCCTCTCGTCTTCGTGCTTTGTCCTTTCAGTCTTGTGCGACTCTGCGTGGCCTCGGATTCTATGAGGGCAGTCAGAGCATGATCGCAAGCTTAGAGCCAGCTGGTAATAGCTAGCTTTTCATGGCAAAAGGTAGCGAAGAAAGTCTTGTTACCTACGGCGTTTTCAAGAGCGTTAGTCACAAAGTTAGCTCTCGATGTGTTGCGTCGTGTAAGTCCCAGCACACATCAAACGAAGAAGCCGCCTGAAATCGCGTGCAAAAAAAGATACGGCAAGAGCTCATTCTGATGTTGTCGTTTTAGCTTCGCGATGACTTCGGCGGTTGAGCCGACGTAAGACCATCGGTGGACTCTGGCGAGGAGTGAGACTGCCGCGCTACCGCTGCCCTCGAGCTCACGTTAAGCTCATTTTTTACTACCTCGGTGCCTTACTGGGTCACATTGGGTCATGCAGGGTCACACAGACAGCACATTTGCAAACTAGCTTTTGTTCCATTTTGCTGGGCCATTTTTATGCTACATCATACCGATTGCCTTCGTGCACGACGCAAGCATCCACGACGGCCGTTGGGCATGGCCTCTCACCAACGTTCCAGGGTTTAATGAAACCGCTGTTGTACTGACCGAGCTAGGCATTTCATTGTCAGATTCAGAGCGTCGGGCGGGTGCTTACATCATACTGGCAACCGAGGAGGGTGTTACTTTCTAGTGTCACAGGTCGATTTGTGGTGAACTCTCGTACTCAGTCACGAGTGGGCTTCAGTGTGAAAATCGGCATGTCATGACAAAAGCACCCCGACTGTTTGTATCGGCTGTTAGCTGCCCGGAGTTCCGTCTTGAATTAAACCTCGTTCGTTTTCTGTCATCGTGCCACACTGACTACTGGAGTTTCATTCTGGGTTAAAGCAGATTTGTTTGTTGACCTTGTGTCATGCTAGGCTACATCTGAGGACAGGAGCCACAAGATGAAACCATTCGGCGAAAATCGGAAACGTGAAGATGAGGGCATTGGCGCAATGTGGGCTGAACGAGATGCCATTCGATCGCCCCGGTCGCCTTCCGATAAGTAGCAGGCGTCTAAAGAAATCCGTGCCGTGCGTCTCAAAAATCCCCAAAGCCGAGCTTGGTGTCGTGACGGGCTAGTGCAGGATCGCGCCCTCAATGTGGAGCGGCCTCGGAGCCCAGAGCTGGAAAGCCCAGAGCGCGAGCTTTCCAGCGTTGACCTGCGACGACCGGGGCAGCGTGCGCTGACCCCAGCTCGCCGACGGCGACGGGGATCCCGGGGGTGACAGCACGGCCGGCGCCGGTCCGGCGGCCGCCGCTCACCTGTCGCACCGGGAAGCGGGCCTGCCATCGTTTGGCCGGGCTGTCGGCGCCGGCGGCCGGCCCGTCGCCCTCCTCATGCAGCAGCAGATTAGAGATGTACAGCTCAAACTGCTCCTTGTGCGAGTCGTCCTGCAGCAGGTGGTGGATGACCGGGTTCGTGGCGACCGCGGTGCAGTCGACCAGCACGTCCGGCTCCGTCTCGGGCTGCTGCGGTGGCGTCGGCGACGGCATGTCTTCACCCGCCTGCCACGGCTCCGTCTTGTGCGCGGCCTGTTCGGCTGGGCAGCGGGCGGCGGCCGCCCGCTCGTCACGGCTCTCGTCGAGCTGGCCCATGCTGAGTGGACGCCGGCGTTGATCTGACCAGCCGGCCGACGGCCGCCCCAGGAAGGCTCGGTCGGCGGTCCGACGGCGGCTGCGCGCGCGCGTCCGGCCCGCCGGCGATCCGGTTCAAACCGCCCCGCCGTCGGCGGGCCTTGTCCGCGTCCGCCGCGGAGCCACGCTTGCCGCAGGGTCGGAGGCGACGGCCGCGCCCGTCCCTTCCCACAGCGTGGCGATGTGGGCAAGTGGAGGCGCCGTGGCGGTGGAGACTCGAGACTCGAGCGCAGACGACGTCGCGCTGGCTGGCGGACCACCTCGACGGGACGGGGCCGGGCGGGACAGCCGCGACCGTCACCCCAGTATCGGTCGCTAGCGAGGTCGGCGGCCGGTCGCGGCGCCGGCTGGCCCTCGTCCTCTGGCCGTTTGTTGCTCCTCGTCGTCTGGCGCAGGGCGGGTGATCCGTCCGATTTGTCGGCGAGGCTGGCGCGGGTCGACACACGCGGTCGTCCTGTTCACGGCTGGTTGTGACGCGAGACGATACCATGTGGGCGAAGGCTTTGTCGAATTTCTAAATTCGTCGAAGCTCCTGGCTATGCTTTTAGATTTGGGGGCATTGCTACAAACTGGTACTCACCAGCAGCGCACTGGTCGTCGGACGGCGAACAAAGCCTTCCGATGACGCAGTAACGATGAGACCCTTGCCTTTCCAGTATCACATCGGCGTTTGTCAAGTACAAAATGAACCGCGAAAGTGGAGGGTCAAGTTTCGCGAACCTGACATCAAAAGCAACCATCCCTGAAATATGGGACTCATCCAGCTGTCCCTGCTTAACAGCTCTGTTGAACCGCATTCGTCTCCGGCGTTACGGATTATTTATTCTGGATCAACTGGGTGACAGGGCCGGAGAGAAATCCTCGTCCGTGTTGTCAATATGACGCTGTCGGTTCGGGCGTGTATCCCCCAGCGACCTCGTAGCAAGGCCTGTGAGGCTCCAGGACCGAGCAATGCCAGCCTCATGCCGCGCCGCGCACCTAGGCATCGCCGCGCCCGCCCTGAAAATTTTCCTTTCGCTAAAACATTCTTTCGCTAGACTTAGCAAGCCAGGCCAGCTGTGCCAGGGTGGTAGTTGGGAAGCAGCTGCGACTGCCCGCGGGTGAGTCACGTGGGCGTGGTGCGCGGCCAGCGCGGGACGCACGCTCCAGCGTCGAGTGGCGCATGTGACGACGGCCGCCGGCCGCCGTCGGTCGCTGCGCCCTCCGAACCCGACGGCGGAAGCCCTCGCGCCCGCCACCTGGCGGCGGCGTGGCCGGCACGTGCTCGCCGCTGGCGCGCCGGCAGCTCCGCCTGCGTCGCCGCGTGCGGCTGTGCCGGAGGGCGTTCGGCGCCCGTTGGGTCGAAGCTCAAAGTGGACTGTGTGCCGAACGCCGCCTCTCGCGAGCGTCCGGTCGGCGAGATCGCGGACGCTGGGTGCGTGACTGACGTTGGTGCTCGATGAGGGGGGCAGCAGAGCGTCGGCCGCCGGGCGGGTCACGTGACAGCTGGCTGGTCGGGCCGCCGCCGGCCGGCCCACCACGCGCTCTCCACCGCCGTCCGCGCCGCCGACAGTCGCGGTCGACGGAGGCGGACGAGCATACGCCGGCTTGTCTGGAGGTGGATATCACTGGCGGGGAACGCCGACGCCACCTGGCAACAGCGGCGGTCACGGCCGCGCCACCGCCATTGACCCAGTCCGCGGCGTCGGCATCGCACGGGTGTGTGCTCCGGCGTTTGCCGGTCACAGAGGGGATGCGGCGTTGTAAACCCCATTGTAGTCGGCTCAAACTGTGCTGAAGCGGCTGAGGCGTTTTTGAAACGTCCCACGATATGACCAATGCGTTCATGGATACAGCTGCGGGTCAGAAGTTTGGGGACCTCGCTTCTAAGTGTTGTGTTTTTCACACCACGCCTGAGGGTGTGGGCAAAATTTCGCATCAGCTTGGACACGTGCTTCTCGTACCGCCCTGTAGCGGAGCGTGCGCGTATGAGACTGCTTGGCATGCCCTGTTGATGTTACAGATAAATAGCGCGATTGAACCTTATTTATGACCCTGAAGTACCATGTTTTTTGCGCAACTCTCCTCAATGCTTACATTCCAGCAGCCAGTACCTCCCGTCACCAGGAGTGTCGTGAGATTCCTGTGACGCGAATGCCATCGGATCGGGCGCCGGGGCGGAGATATCTCCGGCCCTCGGAGACGCACCTTCCGAGGTAGATGTGGTCGGGTGCTGTGGTCGGAGGCAGGTGGGAAGTGGCACAGCCCTCAACGAGCAGTGCGCGATAGATGTCGCTGGTGAAATAGACGCAGGTGGCCCATGACAGACGCATGAGATGGTGGTGTGATACAGTTGCGTGGCTTTAACGCCTCGCATCCTGATAATGCTGGGTGTGGTAACTGTTGACAATACGGTGCACTGCAGACAAGTCTGTTGGGCACGCCACCACGTTCTTAGCATTGGTTATCGGTGGTTAGAACTGCGACGCTATGAGCTTGCTCAGGGAGTGTGTCGTACATGTACATCCGCTGACCCGATAATGAAGTACATTACCTCGGCAAGACACACTTCCTAAAATTGATCTTGTCCAAGTAAAGGAAAGACACGGCGGTGTGACGTGTTATTCGGTCGGCACATTTGCCATACGTGGGTCTCCAATAAACTGGCAGGAACGTGGCCCGTGCCAACAATAGCGGGATTCTGATGTCTTTCCTAGAACAAGCAGTAAGTGTGTATCCCAAGAAATATATTTTTCCCCTCACCAATAACTAGCTCTTAAAATCCTGTGACCTTTGGTATGGGCGCCTTCAGCCGTAACGTTATAGACAAACGTGCCGCCATAGAAAGCACTGCCTGATGGTTCTGGAGTCCGATTGCCCTGTGTTAAGGTTACAATTTTGCAAAAGTGTTAGGATAGGGAAAGCCCTTAGAAAAAATATGAGTCGTCACTTCGCTGGGTCTGCTGTCTATGTATTTGACTAAAAAGGGATTATGCAGAAGTGTCAATATCTTTAGTTCTACGTGACATTGCTATCGATGTTGTCAAAACTGGGAAGGTGATGCTAGAAAAACGCGTTCGGAATGCTGTTGTACATTGCTGTAGAAATGAGCGCAATTTCTTACCGGCACTCCGAACACAACGGACGCGCTTGACGGTCCCATAAGTAATCAAATACGATGTCTAGAAACTTCAAACTTTTCGAATCTGGTAATGTGCAAGAATCGTGAATGCATCTCCTTCAACACATTACAATGCAGGATATGTGTATGCAGGACATGTGATAACCCAGGAACTGATAACCTTTGTAGCAGGCGCGAAACAACTGATGCAAGTTTCAAAAGCAACGGATTTTTAAAATCTTTTGCTTGTTTTGAAAGCTTAGGAAGTCGTTGTGTCTCCCTCGTGCGGAGGAGATAACGCAAGACAAGTTTCCTTTTCCCGGGCCTGATTCATTAGAGCCATCCAGTTTCCCAAACTGGGAAAGTGTTGCAAGTCAGACGGAATGAACAGAACGCATGTGAAGCCTGACACACCCTCCCTGGCATTTCTATGTGTGTGTAGGTGGGGGATGAGCCTATTTAATCACCTCTTTTTACACCGGCGTACGGTGATCGGAAATCTTGCACGGAAAGTTATGGGATTTTTATATTTTTAGGCTTACGGCTTCTCATAAGCTAGTCAAGACAGCCACTTCGGGAATGAATTATCTCCCAACCAGTTTTGGTTCTTTTACCATCGCTCTGTCTGGCATTAATCGGCTGATGCGGTATTTGAAGCAGTAGCCTTCACCTGTCTGCCGGCGCGGGGGGGGGGGGGGGGCGGCGCCACCACCGCGAGGACGACATCTGATTGGCCGAGGGCGGGTGCGCGTGACCTTCACATGGGACGCTGACGAAAGTTGCGCATGAATTGAGCACGGCCTCCGCTGTCCGTAGCCAGCGTATGGCAGTTGGCAAGATCAGCCGGGCTACTGGTGCTTGCAGCTCACTGCCAAACTGCCCACCCAGCGAAGACGGAGATACCCGACCCATGTTTTAGAACTTTTGCGTGGGGCCTATTTATGTTGCGAATGCAAATTACGTTGAATGTTGAATTCGTTCGTAGAGGTGGTAAAGGTAGCGGGCTGCTGGTGCGGTTACGAATGCACGTGGTTCCGTTCACATTGCATGCTTGGGACCCTTTTAAGGAGCCAATCGCCCTTTTCGCTAGTGTTTGTAAAACTCAGTATGGAGTGTTAAATGTGGATTGTTAAGGAACAATTCACATGCGAAACTGGTGTTATGGCACCTCCTCCGATTTTAACAAACGCCCACCCCTGTGCTCTGGTAGCTAGGTGTCTTTCGGGATGAATCAATGCGCCTTAAACTTTGTTCCCACCAAGTCCACCACAACTTGGGCGGAAAATGCGCCTGTCAGCCCACGGTCATTCGGGCATCACAAGTAGCTACCGAGCAATCACAGTATCCGGAAGAGTGTAGTTATGACCGCCCGTCTCAATGTCAGCCGCGTCATACCCGAAGCTGGCGGCTGTGACTGATCGATTCTCTGTCGGTGTGGCCTACCGAGGGGACCACAGCAATTGGTTTCCTGGTGCGACGGCGTCGTGTTATGTCGCGCTGCGGTTGATTTGACAGTCACATCGCGTCACCAGAGCAAAGGCCATGGCGGTCACGCCCCTCCCCAGCTCCGTACACCACTTAGGGACTCCGAGATAAGGGGGGGGGCAATGCGTGACCCTGCAATATGGTTCATGGTTCAGGACATAGCTTGGTCCACAATAGCGTGAACGTGCTCCAGACGGCCAAAAATAAACGTTGATATATGACAAAAGCAACGTTGATGCATGGCATGCATGATCTTGTGACCGAAATTCGCAAAGATGGCACAGTTTTGGGTAGGACGTCCACCAGGCTATGCAGGAGGTTCCATTCCATTGGAGGACCCCGGGAAGGATCGTTACGGTTGGTGTCCCAGAGCATTTCATCGCGCG